TAGGCAGGGGGTTGGACTTGAAGTCCTCCAAGGGCCCTTCCAACTCTGCTTTTATATTTGTATTTGGTTTATCTACGGGACTGCAAACAAGTCACGTTTGTTTTGGATTAGATTAGCAAGTTATATGAACCAAGGCTGCTTGGAGGAAGAGACAGTTCTTCAGACCCAAAGACATCACCGGGCATCATGGCATCCCTTGAATGGCAGCCAATTCCCCTTCGCCTGTGACCAGGGGTAGGCTTCAAAAATTTCGGCAATAAGTTCTCGGCCCAGTTGCTGGGTGGGGTGGTCTAGTCGACTCCTGCACTACGGTGGGGTAGAGGGGGGTGAAGGGGTGCATTTTAGCCCTCCCAAGACTCTGGAGGCTTTCCTTGAGCCTCTGCGAGGATGAAAACTGCCTCTCCCGGGCTCCGAAGACCTTCTGGAAGGCCCTCCGGAGGCCAGAAATGGGCCCGTTTCTGGAACTTCCTCAAGGTGCATTTCCGCCCCCCTTCCCAAGCCTCTGAGCGGGCCTTATACTTATCTGGCATCCAAAACAGGCTACGTGGAGACTCCTGGGAGGGGAGGGGTGGGCGGGGCCAGACAGGGATGAGATTTGGAGGTTCTCCAAAACGGCCATAATGTTAGCTAGGGGATCTCACTACGGGTTCTCCCGAAGCAGCCCACCCCTGACCGCGACCTATTGAAGAGAGAATTACCTGACGTTTATTGCAATGTCGAACTCCCTGTGGGCCTTGACCCCAACACACGTTTCGGGATTTGTGGTGACAGTCAGTGCAAATGGATCATCTCCGGGGTGTGGGAGCACATTGTACCTCAAGGTAGTCTGAGGAGGGAAAATACGTGTTAATGGGTCATCTTTCTTGGTCAATTAGCCAGTTCAGGCAATGCAGATTTCCCGCTACTCTCAAGGGAAATCTAGGACACCTTGGCCCACTCCTGGGGGGGATGGGGAGCATCGTTTCCTAGATCCACGTAGCTCAGCCTTCTCCGGTCTGAGTCCTTCGGGAGTGGGCGGCATACCAGACCAATAAACTCAAACTCCTGCAGATGCATTGGCCTTCAGCTTCCAATATTTTCAGCCAAGTTTGCCAAAGGCTGACATTTCTGGAGGGTGCGTTCAACGGAAGAGCCACCGTTATTCCTCTCGGGTGAAAGATGCTTTCTTCTTGCAAGGCAGCCAGAGAAGCAGATGTGGGTCCACAGTAGAAGAACCCAATAGAAGAACACAACCTTAGAACATTGACCGACCGAGCTCAGCATTATCGTCCAATCAGCAGCCGCTCTTCAGTATTACCTTCTCATGCCAGAAATGCAAGGATGGAGTCTTGGGCCTTCTTAAATGAAACAAGGCCTAAGCTTTTCTCCTTTCCGTTTCCTTGGTTACCACCCTTCTGCTCTTCGCCGTTCCGCTCTTTCTTTCCTTATAAGGACCACGTTACTTTATGGCTCCTTTTACCCTACATATCTATGGAGATTCTCGGTCATCCAGGTGGTCCCAAGGGTGCTTTTTCAAAAGGCAACTGAACTTTCTTTGGTTTTCCTTGAAGATGTTTCTCTTCTCATCCCAGAAGCTTCTTCAAGACTGAATGATGGAGGATGGAAGGACTGATACTCCTTGCAGACAGCTGGTCATTTGCACACTTTTCGAGAGCCGTTGAGGCCACCTGGAGGTTTATCTGTGCCCTGAATAGTGCAAATGGCGGGGGGAGCCTTCTTGGAACTGCTGGAAGACCCCTCGGCCCCTCAGAAAGAGTGTTAAAGACCAGATGACTGCAGAGAATATCAATAGCACTAGAAATAGCACTTAGACTTGTATACCGCTTTAAAGTGCTTTTACAGCCCTCTCTAAGTGGTTTACAGAGTCAGCCTGTTGCCGCCCAACAATCTGGCTCCTCATTTTACCCACCTCGGAAGGATGGGAGGCTGAGTCAACCTGGAGCCTGGTGAGATTTGAACTGCCAAATTTCAGGCAGCCGGCAGTCAGCAGAAATAGCCTGCAGTACTGCACTCTGACCACTGCGCCACCGTGGCTCAATCCTTCCATCTTCCACCATTCAGTCAGAACTGAGGAAGCTCCTTGGATGAGAAACGAAACGCCTTCAAGGAAAAAAAACCAAGGAAGTCCAGGTGCCTTTTGAAAAAAGCACCTTTGGGACGCTTTCTCTGCCCTTCAAAGTCTAAAGTGGGGAGAGAGTTTCTCTCTCCGGCCAATGGACGTAGCCTCAACTCCATGTCCACCTCACTCAAACAGTTCATGGAGCCTCCTGAAGTAGCAGGGATGGCTTCAGTGGTGGGATTCAGCCAGTTCGCACCTATTCGGCAGAACCGGTTGTTAACTTTCTAATTAATTCAGAAAACCAGTTGTTGGAAGAAATCTCCTTTTGTTTTTTTCCACTTTACAGGGCTAATCCTGTCAGGAAGGCAGGAAGGAAACATT